GGGTATGCATTTGAAAGAGAAAAAGGTCAAATTAGGATTTTGATGTCTTTCATAAATACCACTCAAAGTTAACGCAGCTGCTCTCTGCTTCATCTTTGACTTGCCACATTTAGTGTATTCATTCTAACTGTTATAAAAATGATGGCCAAAAACAAACAAAGATGAATGTTTAATCCATAACCGCTTTATAATGAATTCAAAGTTGACTACTGGTGCTCACATTAACCACAATTCCACTGGACTGCCAATATATTTTAATAGAGTTTTTTTATAGAGTTATTTCCTTCCTTGAAATTGTGAGAAATAAAATATATATTTGGCCTTACTCTTCAATCGTACTGACTCGGGCTGTCCTCAACTAAAGGAATTCAGTCAACTGACAATCATACGACTAACCAACTCGTTGATTTATTGAAAGATGTGTAAAACTGAGTTTCTCCACATTGAACCGTGCAAAAGAGCCACTTTTTTACAAATTAGACTAGCAATTCACTTCTTTAAGGTGGAGTAGGTAAGTTTGAGAAACCGGCTCGAGATACACTTTTTGTTATATTCTCTTAACATCCCGATAGCAATGAATATCTTAAGTGCTTTGACAATAAATTCATAAAAAAATGTCATCTGTGGAAGCGGTAGCGCTGTAAAAAGCACGACCAATCATCTGAGCCGGCCCGGCTAAAGTAACTGGATGGCCTACCTGCCTGTCAGCCTTCCATCTGTGCACAAACTTATTTCCTGCCCTCATTGGTCATGTGCGTGTTCGTGTGTGTTGGAGGAGGGGCTCTGTAAGGAAGTGGCAGATTACCGGTAGTTCCTGCTCTGTATTTTCAAATTCTAGCGCACTCGAGCTGGTTTCTCCAAAATTACCTACCCCACCTCTAAGTCCCTTAATATTGACCGTGGCAAACAGATTCACAGATGCTGCCAAGGGACAGAGAAAGACAATGTGATGCTAGTTAGGAACTCATTGGTTCACAAAAACAACCAAACTTCTGTTAATAATTTGAAAATGCAATATGAAAATGGCACAGCAGGTCGATTGGGTTTATTTATATGATCTTCACCCTGCCCCACACACTCCTTTGTACGTTAATCATTAGATCACACCTGTAAAACCGTCTCAAAGAACAAAGGACTATTGTGAGCTAATCTGGACGTCTGAATGTGCAATCATACAGAGCTTCAAAAAGACCTTTAAACATTAAAGATATAATCATTACACTAAAGCATGTTGGACTAATGCACTGTCATGCTATTGACGAAACGGAAACTAAGATAGGATTTTAATATGATTACGCTTGACGAAGTGGATATCTATACAACCACATCATTAGTTTACTAATCATTAGTTTACTGTTTAATTATTTATATGATGCATGCATGCAGAAAGCTAAAATATTCTCAAGGTAAACAGATTGACACACTTCAAACTGAAACACAGACATGGGCTATATTTTCCTTTCACTCACTCACTCACTCACTCACTCACTCACACGTGTGCTGTAGTCTATAGAAAATGAAGCAGCTATTGGTTTACCAGTGTTGCTGCTGTTATCCTATTACAGGACAGAGGGTGAAAGCTGTCATCTGTGTGTGATATCTGAACGTCTAAAGTAAGGGAAGTGTGTCTCACACACAGTGAATGTGAGTACACACATACTGTTAACAAAGTGGCATGTGTTCACACCTCTTCATTCCTCGTCTTGTATTTCACTCTGAGCGTTTACAAAACATTGCATCTACAGATTGAGGACGCGGGGCTGGTGCATGTTTGGTTTTATGCACTTTGGGATCAGGTTTGGGGTCGTGAGGTTTTCATTGTTAAGACTGGAAAAGGCCCAAAGTCCTGAGCATCTGCAGAGGACAGATTGAGTCCAAACGGTCTCTCTGCTCATAGCTTAGGGCCAGACGCTGCTTAAGTTACCGATATCGCGACACCAGTAAGTCAACTTTGAACTCCCCCTCTTCTAGCGCCAAGCCTTGGTAAGCCAGAGAGAGGAGTGGCTGGTAGTGTACGCGTTTATGAGGTGATTAAAAGACAGCCTGTAGGTGAGGAATAGGTGCATATGTAGGCTTTGCACGTCCATAGACAAGTACAGACCCACTAAAGACCTGTGGCAGAGAAAAGCAGATGTACAGTATATCTTATAAAGTCATATCTGTGTTTTCAGTTTTAGTTTTATGACTGTTTTTACAGCCCCCTTATTGCGGTTTCTGCTGTGAGTCACGGACTAAAATAAATTTCCCTCTGACAAAAAGGACAGCCATAAAGCATTTCAAAAGAGCCTTGTAAATTAAACCCTTTTTGTGCTGTCTGTTAAATGGGCCTTGTATGTGTTCTGATCAGCAAGAAGTTAGTGTAAAAATAGCCTGAATAGTGGATTCGTCATCAGCTCTGGGAGACAGGCCGCCCTGCTGTGTACCTGCTGAAGACGCAGCTGAGAGGGAGCTTGCTATCTGCCTCATTACAACCGTATTACACCCTGCTGTAGATGTGACAAGATGTCTCCGCTTTCTGCCCTGAAGCCTCCGCCTCCGGTCTTGTAAGCCTCAGCAGAACATGAACGCTGATTATATCGACCCAGATGTGCATGTTCCTTACTGAGCATTGCACTGACTGCTTGATGCTTTTAGTATGTATCGTTTGAATGTAGACATTTTAAGTGAGGTTTGTTTCTCTTATTGAGGTCATGTTTGATTCCTCTTGTGCCTTTATTGGTGTCATTATTTGCTGGTTATCATGTCAAGCTTCTATAAGGAAGTTACCCTGATAGATTATGATCATCAGTAGTGGCTATTTGATGATATAAAACTAAATATCTTTGGGCTGTTTCTCACACATAATATTACATTTATTATTGGTCTCTGTATTGCGACAGGAAGTTCTATTATTTTCTGCCACTAATTAGACAATTGTTATTCAAAATAATTAAGAAAATAAGTTATTGTTGTGCTGTTTAGTAGCGACCATTTTAGTACAGAGACGATAACGTTTTTTTTGTAATTTTGTTTATTGAGGCAATGCAAACATTATTCAGTTTGCCATGACAAGTTTACTTTGTGAATCCTTCAGATTGAGCTGCCAGGATTACATACTGTATGGATGTGACTGATGGTGCCTGACTCTGAAACACCTGAGAGGTTAAATGGAGCCCCTCTTCAGGTGGGGAAACATTCCTGTGTGACAGCATGGGGCTCTGTGATGGCCTCGGGGTAGAAGTTGAGAGCTGGAGGAGTAAACTGAGACACCGGGAGTCACAATCCTCCCATGCCTTTCTGCTCCTCTGAGATTCTTCTTCTTTCTTTTTTTTTGTCTTAAAGAAGATTATCCGTCGTTCTCTGCTCAGCTTCTTTGTAGCCGGCAGAGCTGGGGCCTGGTCCGGTCATCACAAAGGCCTGCGGGCTGCCACATAACAACATAAGGCGCGTTCACACCAAGTACTTTTCCCACAAAGGTTCCTGAGAACTCTTTAGTTCTCATGAACTAAGTACAGATCGCGTTCACACCGGAAATTAGTTCCTGGGGGTGGATTAGGCAAATGAAGCCGCTGACGTCACTTCTTCTTCTTCTGCTTTGGGTTTACTGGCAAGCCGCAAAGAACTTCACGGCATATACTGCCACCCGAAGTCCCCGGCCGGAAGTCCCCGGAGTGTTGTCATAAGTTAGTCTCTCTGCGTTTCCGCGCTGGGCTAATGCTAATGCCAATAATGCAATGCGAGAATAATAAAATGGCGACTTCAAAAAAGTTTTTGGGAGTTTGACGGGGCGCGGTTTGCATTCCGCCTAGCCAATCAGACACAGGAACCTTTTTCTCCCACGAAAGTCCCTGCTCTCTAGCAGGGACTGAAAAGGGGGTAAAAAAGGTTCTCTAGAACTAATTTAGTTCCTGGGACGTTTTGGTGTGAACGCAACTAAATCGTAGTTCTCAGGAACCTTTGTGGGAAAAGTACTTGGTGTGAACGCGCCTATAGCAATGACATAAAGAGAAGGATGTCATTGCTTCAAGGACATGTTTTAGGGGGCGTTTGATTTCTAAGAAAACGGCATGTTTTGATGTTCCCCCTGTTATCCTGCTTTCTCCTATTTCCATTGCCCACTTACTTGCTTGCTCTCTCTGTGTTGTTATTTTGGTCCATTTTTGTACGTTAACATCTTGTCCATCAACCTCCTCTTCCTCCACTAATTCATAAGTAATGACCATGCAGCAGCAGCAGCAACAGCAGGCAGAGCATCGGAGCAGACATGCCGGCTGGCCAGGCCTCGTCCCAGCGGACCAGAGCCACTTATCTCTCACAATAATGACATATGCATCGACTGGCTTTAAGAAAGTGGCTTCCCAGTATTTGGGAAGTCTCCCACGTTTATTTTCTCCGCTATAATTGACTGTCTTAACGAACAACATATTTCATGCATAAGAAGTCATTTGCTTGCCAAAAAAATATGAATCAAAGATAACACTGACATCCAAAGTAAAACTGACATTACAACAAAAACATATTTACAATCATGATTCATGAGTGTGGATATTGTCATTATCAACACCTAATCTAATCAAATTACTTATTACAAAACATATACATCCTTTCCTTTAATGCGTGTTTTTTCGGAGGAAGCATTTTTCTCAGCTTTGGCTGCTCACATTTTGCAACATCGATCTCATCTACGGTTACTTAATACTGGAAAGAAACAGTATCGCCACCTATAAAAAGCCCTATCACCATCAGTTCCGTTCTTCTTTATAGTCCCATAGGGGAAATCGGACTTGCAGCCGAGCACAAATAAACAGTAACGGAAAACATATAACAAGAAAAGAAGAGAAAAAAACTTTCAAAGATGAATTTGTAGGCTTTTTGCAGTTCTGCAGTCCTAAAGGATTGCAGAACAATGCCTAAATGCAAGGTTACCTTTTGTGCAAATTAAGCATGTTTTTTGCACTAGGACTGTGAGAGATGATTCTCCCTGACTGACCCCTCCTCCCCTCTCCTCCCTCCTCTCTCAGATGACATGGCGTCCTCAGTACCGCAGCTCCAAGTTCCGCCACGTGTTCGGTAAGCCCGCCGTCAAGGATAGCTGCTATGACGGCGTGCCAATCACACGCAGCGTCCAGGACAACAACTTCTGTGCCGTCAACCCACGTTTCCTGGCAGTCATCACCGAGTGCGCCGGGGGAGGGGCTTTCCTGGTCCTGTCCGTCCATCATGTGAGTATCTCCATCTCATGGCAGCTTTTACTCCCTGATGTCAGCTTTTTAAAGGATACTGTGATGTGTTTGGTAGATGTATGCCCTGAAGGAGATATTTGTTTTTGCTACGAGGGTAAAGAAAAGCAAGGAATAGTTTAAATATAGACTTTTAAGCAATAGATGGACATTTCTCTAGTTGAAAAACAGCTGACTTTAGAAGATCAACTTTACAATCTAAGGCAATCAAAGACAACAGCTTTGCCATGAATTGTGCTTTTGCAAAGCTTTCGAAAATGCAATATTTATTGACACCGTCAGAAAGTTGGTAATGTTTATCATTGAGGTTGTAATGGAAGGTGTTGTGCTATACTGCATTATGTTAAAAGGTGAACTGAAAATACGTCTGCAAACAAGAATTACATTTACATTCCTTCATACAAAATTCCCCTAAATAGTTACCTGATCCAGCTCGAGGCAAATTGGGTCATGTTACCTGTAGTTCATCCTAGTTATTATGCTGCTCAATGTTTCAACTAGCCTCCTAGCAAGCTTAAAACAGGAGACATCAGGAAAATCAACATAAAACATTTCCCCATAACTGAAATTAGCTTTGACCAAAAGTTGGGAAGTTTCAGAAAAAAGTGTAGCAATGGAATTTCACATTAGAAATTATTATGGTGAGAACATTATTACCTCGGCCATGGAGGTCTTGTTTTTAGTTTGACTTTTTGTAAACAGGATTACGGAATAAACTACGATTGTAATTTTCATGAAACTGGGTCATGGAAGAAACAATACAATTATCGAACGGACCATAATCACAGGGAGGTATAACAAATGCTTTTCCCTTCCGTTAACATTGCGAGATACTACGTTTGGTCTCAGCAGGGATCTCAGGTCTCTGCTTTCTATACTTAAAATAACTTTTTCTCTTTGGTAAAAAGTAGAAGAACAATTAATCTGCTGAGTGTTCGACATCTCTCATGGTTTCTCTTTGCTCGTGCACGCACAGCACACCTTGGAAAGAAAGATCTGCTCTCAGATTCTAAATAGGACAGCAGCAGTGGAGCCAAAGCAAATACCAGGAAACCCCCGGCAGCTGATTAACTTTAACCTAAACATTGCATGTGGTCTTCTTTTTCCTCCTCATTATTCTGCCTTATCTCCCCCACCAACTTCACCTTAAACATGATAAATCAAGCACTCTCCATGACGTTATTTATGCATATTATCACATCCACCGGTGTTATCAGCAACAACAGTGATCCTTCAAATAAACTCAGCCAGACTTCCTTATTGTGTGCCGGTAAAATGTACAGTCCTGCTGTATGTCTCCAGTCGAGAGCGATTTATCAAGCTCCCTCCCTTCTCCCTCTCTCTGTCTGTGTCCAACTTTTAAATTATCTTGGACTTATCACCAGCCTCCTAGCTTGGGCAGGAATTGCATACATGCTCAGGAATGACATAACTCATCGTTCGACCTCCCTCTTCCCCTTCTTTCACCATCTCGAGGAGGTTAAACTTCCCCCCTCTGCTGCCCTTCACCTCCCATCTTTGTGTGTGAGCTCACAGAGAATCGTGCTGTGGAGAACAGTGCTTCTATGTTCTACTTTCTTGTGCATATGTTAGGTTTGCTGGAAAGCACAGGTAGTGGTTACATCATCCCCATGCAGACACACCTTACCTACACAGTAATCAAGCCTGCAGGTGTGTTTGAGTGTGTGTCAGTAGGAAGGTTCTGTTTGTACTAACTGCATAATTAGCAGACTTGTCCAGGCAGAAAATCTTCTGCAGATCTCTCTGACCTTTTCCTTCTAACAGGATCATGAAATACCAGGGCGTGTGTCAAACATTTTGTGTAGCTCTACCTGTAGTTTGAATACTTTCATTTAAATGTCATGAAGAGTTTGACTGCTCTGTAGCTTGTACTCATATGTGAAGATCTTGTCCTGTTAAGATATTTAGAAACCAGCTTTCTATCTGTCTTTAAATCTGCACTAATAAATATGTTTTATATTAGGGTTAGGTAAGGGAAACTCTGCCTATTTGGTCAGTCAGTTTACAGGTCTTAGGCTTGAATTTCGATAAATTACCTCAAGGGACGTCATTTGAGTCTACATTGTTTGTACATTGTCTTATTCTAAAGACTACAAGTTTGAAACCCCCCCTAAAATCTTCACGGGGGAGGAGTTATAAAGTGGTGAGCTTACTTACCTCTTCAGTCCACTCCTCTACAGGCTACATTAGCTGCTACTAGCATTACACACCTGAATATCTCCGTTTGTGGTTGAGTTGCATTATGGTTAATGTAGGAACCATGTTTTGACAAGGAATAAGACAATTTCTCCTGATTTCTATTAGGGCTGCTCAATTAATCGTATTTTAATCACGATTACGATTATCGCTTGCAACGATTACGAAAACAACGTAATCGAAATAAAACGATTATTTTTTATTATTACTTTTATTAATACTTTTTTTTTTTTTTCAGTTGAAATTATACTTAGAAGTTCAGGGTAATCAACTGTCAAAAACATACTGTTCAAAAAAAAATTCTCCAATAAATGGATGTTTTCAAATTCAATGAATAATCGCATTTAATAATCGCAATTAGAATTATTGACCCAAATAATTGACATTATGATTTTTGCCATAATCGAGCAGCCCTAATTTCTATACAATGCGGACAGTATGTAGGCAGAGGTAGCAGCCGATTTGAATAGTTAGCATAAAGTGGCCAGGACTCTATCCAAGACTGGCCAAAATATAATTTGGCTGTAACAGGTTAACTCAATGTCTTACACTTTTTTGTAAAGATTTAACAAAGAATATACAGTATAATGTGCTTTTTGAGCTTAACATGAGCTGGTGCTCTAGCGCTTTCCCCCTGCTTCCAGTCTTAATACTAAACTAGCTAGCTACATATTTACTGTACATAAATGAAAGTGTCTATTGCAATAAAACAGAGCACTTTTATCAGAATGTCAGACTAACTCAATGATATAAATGTTTTGGCTTTTATATTTCAGTTTTTTAATCCTCTTTTGTTTGTTTGTTTATCAGACAGGTAAAGTGGATCCTCACCAACCCCGCATATCGGGCCACAGAGGAAATGTGTTAGACGTCAAATGGAATCCATTCAACGACTACTGCATCGCCTCCTGTTCTGAGGACACCACGGTTTGTACAAACACACACCCACCTAAAGTACAAATAGTTCACTGATGTGTTATCATTTCCCTTCATTATGAGCGTGTAGCAGCAGGGAGATTATTTTATTGCCTTGCTGTTTAGCCTTCAAGAAGTCATTCCTCACATTCCTCAGCCATGACTTGGCTCTGAAGAAATCAATGTACAAAGAAAGAGAGAGGAGAGTGATATGAGACCATTTATTTAAAGTCATTTATTTCTCGTGTCCAGTCGACCCTCAATTATTTATTGAATCGTTATTCGTCATAGATTTAGACATATTGATTTTGTTCGTTTGTGATCTCTCTTACAGTGGTGTATTCAAAGCCTTCTCTAAAAAGTGCTGATGCCGCTCTGTAAAAATGCATTGGAAATTAACTAAATGTATGTCAAAACAATTTTTTTAAATGCACTTAAAGTTAAGTAAAAGTACTCATCCTTACTGATACAAGCATTCATGTAAAAGCTGAATTTTATGGTTTCAGTCGGTTGCCATTTCGCCTTTATCAAATCAATGAGACAGGAAAACAGAGAAAAGATCATTAATTGTACAAAATTGTAAATTATTATTCAAATAAATAATAATAGCAAACTTGAGAAGCGGGAAGCATTACATTTTTGCACATCAATCAGAAAGAATGTTTTTTTATATTGGCTTATGAACAAATCAACTAGTCAATTCAGGTGTCCTGTGATAGTTTAATGTATGACAGAACATCATATTTCATGAGGTCTTGATGATGTTTTTTTGGGTGTGTCTGCAGGTGAAAGTGTGGGAAATCCCTCCTCATGGCGTGCTGAAGAACCTCACAGTCCCGTGGAAGGAGCTCCAGGGTCACAGCCGCAGAGTGGGCCTCATCGAGTGGCACCCCACTGCTAACAACATCCTCTTCAGTACGGCCTATGACTACAAGGTAATGCAAACACACAGAAGTTAACTAACCTAACTCTGAACTCAAACAAGCTACTGTGACATATACTGTAAACAAGTGTGTATAGCAATGCAGTCAAACAGGTCACAGATCTATCAGCCCAGTTCTTTTTATCTGATCATGATCATGACAAAGATTGCTGACAGTAACACTGCAATCTGCAGTACAAAGCTTCACAATCACTTTAGAAGTGACAGCAGCATTTCAGGAATTTTCGCTCTACATGTAAATGTACTGCTTTTCTGCTGCAATCCGAAATGGGACAAGTCTCATGTCCGAGTCTAAATAAAGAAGGCTTCTCAATCCTCTAATTTCCCCTCCTCGACTCCTATCCTCGTGTCTTAGTCCCGCCCACAGGAGATGCGAGCGGAGGAGTCGAGGAGGGGAACCGAGGAGAGAGGAGGGGAAGCAGCAGGCGGTTAGATAAATGAGAACTCCTCTCCTCTGAGCGGTCATTTTAAAGAGACGTCCATTAATGATGACAGAGGCACAGCAGCACTCTGTCTGATGGACAGATGTGTTCATGACCACTTATATATTTACTTTTAATGAATTCACATTGCGGTATAATGAGACAATAACAGGCTACAGATGCGGACACATACACACATATATATTTATACACATTACATTACATTGCATTTAGCTGACGCTTTTATGCAAAGCGACTTACAAAAAGTGCATTCGACCAAGAAGATACAAACTTGAAGAAACCAGAATCATTTAAGTACATCAGGTTTCATAGAGCCAAAACATTTCAAGTGCTACTCAACAGGCTTTAGATAAGCCAGTCCTTTATTAGTATAAGTGCTTGGATAGTAATTCTATTGCTCGAAGTGGAGTCGAAAGAGATGAGTTTTCATTCTGCGCCGGAAGATGTGTAGGCTTTCTGCTAGGGATGGGTATCGTTAGGATTTTATCGATACCGGTACCGGTACCTGTACTGCTTATCGGTATCGGTATTTTTCGATACCCTTATCGATACTTTTCAATAATTTGGTGCTCAAAATTATAGACATGAATACAAGATGTGAAGATTAAACAGTAATTGTATTGTAATTTTCTTGCAGAAATAGCTATATAACTTATACATTAGCTTCTCAGAAGCAATGAAAGGCCAAATTATTATAGGTGTAGGAGCTCACATTAACACACTGTCAGTGTTAATAAACTAAAAAAAGACAAGGTGATGTGCCTGCAAGACTTCACTCAGGTAAACAAAAAAATATTACCCGAGCGCAGCAGCTAACCTGCCTGCGAGCCTTAGCTCAGGTCACATTTACACACGGCGCGGCTGAAGCCCGCTAGCACTAGTAGTATCGCGAGCACCGTTTTAGATTCAATGAGTGTCTCGTTTGCAAATGCTTCATTAAGTTGCTTGTGTTACCCCCTTTACACGCAACTAATTGAGTACATAGATTGCACCTTGCACTATCGCCACTAAAAAAAATTAAAGTGCACCCAGACCTTCGATCGCTTCGCTCTGTCCGCCATGCGGGAGTCTCACAACAATAATAAGAGCGCTGTTGAGAGAGATGAGGAGTGGCATTTACAGTGGCCAATCAGAGGGGTCTCAAACCGGATACATCACACGGGATGAGGGTTCCCAACTAACCAGAATGGTTTAAAGTTAAACTAAGGAAGTAGACGTAACAGATATACCGATAGCAGCACCGTTTGTCCAGCGGCTTAACGGTATACCGATACCGTCCAATCAGGTACCGGTATTGACTTAGTACCGGTTCTCGGTACCCATCCCTAATCAGGAGAGAGTGTACAGGAAATGCTTACAAAGCTGGACACATGATG